TTTCAACGGTAGGCTTGCTTCCAGACAAGCAATTCAATTGAACAGCTGAGATCCCCAGCCTTTTGCAGGGACCTCTGCCTCCTTCCCCTCCTCCATGTCTTTGCAAATATTAATAGCCAAGGGCCTCACTGAGTGTGGTTTTTAATAGAATCCAATTTCAGTCCATTTAGAGTGGGACTTTTCATGCTGACTTGGTAATTTGAACTCTGTCATGCCTGATGGGCTGAATACATTTTCCCTGTCTGTGTGGCCCGCCCTGGGCTGGGCGGAGAGGGCAAGTACGTATTGGGAGTAGGACACAGGGACACCTTCTTCAGAGCAACTGCAAATCAGCTATTTCTGCCTTACGGCCAGTTTTGTCTTTCCTGCCCTGAGGCATGTGAGTAGGATCCCAGGGCATTGGGAGGAAACAGGCAATGATTACTCTCTTTCCTGGTGGTCACCTTCCTCTTGCAGCCCAGAAGCCCCTGGCCTCTGTGTGCCCACCACAGGAAGAAAACTGGGTTGATCTTTGGATGTGACTAGAAGACCCTTGGTTCTGCCAACCAGCAGAATTATCCCAACTGATTGTTGTGGAGTCTCTGACATGTTGGGAGAGAGCATGTGAGAGAGTATGTGGCTTCCTCTGCCCCATCCCCCCAACCAAGTCCTTACCCTGTTTGATGAGAGAGTAATCCGAGGGCTTATTGGAAGTTCCTTCCTTCTAGAGTGCAGGGTGGGAAAATGGAAGGTGAACGTAAAGGTATTAGCCATACCATAACTGAGGAACCGGGGGCTCAGGAGGTTGGGGGAAGGAAATGAATGTTTATTCCACGCTTACTCTGTGCAGGGCCCTGAGCTAGGAGGACAAGTTATTTCTTAATCCTCCCAATAGCCCATTAAGGAATATAAAATTATCCTCATATACAGAGGAGGAAAATGAGGATCAGGAGTCAAGCAACAGCCCCAAGGTCACACAGCTAGTGGATGTCAAAGCTGGTATTCAAACAAAGCTCCATCTGTCCACTCTTAGAGATCACATGGTTAGAAATGGTGGAGCTCGGAGCTCTGATTTGTCTGCTGGTCTACCTCACCGCGCTCCTTCACCTGGCTGGTCATGGGAAACACTAGGACATTTAAAAAACTATAGTATCTTGAGTATTAGCCCTGGGAGCCTGAATCAATGGGTCTAAGGCAGAGGCTGAGATTATGTATTTTTAAAAAGCTACTTCAAGCGATTCTGATGTTCTGGAAAGCATAACACTGGAGTACGTGTCTCCTGTGGTTTCTTGGTTCTCAGAAGCATAGATTCAGTCCAGCCCTGCGTTTTCCCCAAGTAACACTGGCCACTGAATCCATTATTCATTCATTCCAGATTCAGGGCTCGGTGTTTATCGAGCACTTACTGTGTGCCAAGCACTGTGCTCAACATTCTGGCTGCAAAGAATGAATAAACCCCAGTGCCTGCCTCAAGGATCAGCCAGGTAGTGGGCGAGACAAACATAAATAGGAAGTTCCAATTCCTTGTAGCAAATGCTACACAGAGGGAGGCTCATGTTGCTATAGGAGTACAGACCATGGGGTCAAGGAAAGCTTTGGAGCAGTGATGCCTCGGTTGAGTCCTATAGGAGTTAACAAGGAAAAGAAGGGGTTGGAGGGGTGAGGCATGGCCAACTAGGCAGAGGGAACCACATGGAAAGGCTCAGAGACCCAGAGAGATGGGTTTGGGGAATCACAAGGAGCTGTGCAACGGTGAGATGTAGGGTACCTTTGGAAGAGGACCAGGAGGGGAGCCTGGAAGAGTCCGTGGGAGAAATTACATGGAGGACCTTGTGTGTTATGCTGAGTTTGGCCTTTATCCTAAAAGGGGTGAGGAGCCACTGAAGATGTTTAAGCTGTGGAGTGACAGAATCAGATTGTGTTTTAGAAGGGGAGCTCTGACAGCAACAAGAGGGTGAACCATAGGTACAAGGAGCTGGCAACAGAGATCCAAATTAATTGCAGAATTAAGAATTTATATGTGTCAAAAAGCACCATAAACAAAATTTGAAAGCAAAGCACTTGGAAAGCATATTTGCAATGTTTCTTGACAAAAATAATATTCTTAATAAAATTACATATTGAGAATAAAGATAAACATACCAATATCAAATAAATAGAAAAATCACAAAGAAACAAGTACAAATGGTCAATGGGCATTTGAAGATGTTATTCACTAATAATCAAAGAAGTGTGAGTTCAAATAACATTGACATACTATTATTTTCCTACTGGACTGGTAAAGATTTGGTAAATGACCATACCCACTCTTAGTGAGGTTGCAGGGAACAGGGCACTCTCAAGCCTGCAAATAGGAGAGTGTGAAGTTTCGTACAAACTTTGAGGGCAGTTGGCAACATATATCAAAATTCTTAAAGGATGGCTAAGCAATTTCCTTCTTGGATTTTATCCCAAGGAAATAGCCATAAATGTGTGCAAAATTTAGCTACAAGAATGTCTGCTGCAACATTATTTACAATGGAGAATGGGAACAAATGAAATAATCACTCTAAGGAGATGGGCTACCAAGTGAGAGTCCATCCGCATAATGAGGATGCTGTTGAAAAAGTTTGAGAGGCACACAAAAAATGTTTCGTTCATAATATAGTAAGGGAAGTAGCACAAGGTGCAAAAAAGTGTGTCTGATATGCTACCATTTGTGACAAAAGAATATATACACATATATTTGAAAATGCATAAATGTTTCTAGAAGGATATACAGTACAAGTAATCAGAGGGAAACTAGATGCTGACAGATAGGGTGGGAAGGAGATTTACTTCTTACTATAGAACTTTGTGTCCTTTTTGAATTTTGTATCTGTATGTGTATTACATATTCTAAAATATAAATACACATTTTGAAAAGTAAGTTACTAAAGAATATACACAGTGTAATCCAGTTTTTGTTTAAAAAAAAACCATCATGTGCATGTGTACATTTATACCAAAAAGAACTGAAAGATAAGTCCAAAAGGATAGCAATGTTTGTCTAGGGTGGTAGGATGGTGGGCTGGAGTTTGTCTTTTTTTCCCCTGCTAAAATTTCTACAATACACATGTGAGGCTTTCATAACAATAACAAGAAAAGTATAATTTTTTTCCACAAAGAGTCTATTACAAAAGTCCAAGCAGGAGATGACAAAGCAGGTCAGATCCAGGATTAGTGCTCCAGGTCTAGTTCAGCAGTGACATCTGCAAACAAAGCGTGTCATTAAATCACAGTCCCTGTTTTGGGGAGGGATGGGGAACAGGAAGCTGAAGGTCTGCTAAGGTGAATAGACCTGATTTTGCTTAACAGCTTTCTGAAGTCTCTGTTGGACAAATGCACAGCAAGTTCAATCCCTCCACCCCAAACATCGAACAACACCCCCAGGCAATTTTTTACTTTGGGATCACTTAACTTTGGGTCACAGTGAATGGATTCCAGTAAGCAAGTGTATGCGAACCACCAGACAGGCAGATGGCCTGTGCCCAAAGTTGTCCTCTCCTAGTTCTGGTTTTCCACCTTTCTCTTTAGAAGGATGGCGACAATCTTATCCCCATCTGTACAGCTCTGCCCCAACTTACTTGTTGAGGCAAGACCTCTCTCCTGCTCTGTTTTGGGTATAGTTGGTCTGAGTCCTTCCTGATGGCATGAAGACCAAAGGAAGACCCTGGTGGTTTGAACTGGTTCTGCAGTCCACCTCTAACCTCATCCTCATCCTTCAGATCCCGACAAGCAATTTGCCAACTCGCAAGCTTTCTGGGCTGGAGGCTTGGGAACGGGGGAGTTTTGCACATCTGCTTATGCTGTGTATGATGCAGGACGGTTCTGAGTCAGGGACATGTGAAGCCATTCTGGAAGAAGAGGGCAGAGGGAAGGATCTGGTAGGGGTTGGGGGAGAATGTGGCAGCTATAACAGCATTTTCCTTTTCCTCTTCTCTGGAAGTGAGCTATAGGCAAGCAACTGTGGGCCCCTGGGTATTTCTAGCACCTTCTTGAAGCCCCCGTTGGAAGCCTTTCGGGAGCTATGTGAATATAACCTGGACTGCTGGCTTCTGGGCCCCTCAGCAGTGATTGGATCCTGCAGTGGTGGAGCCTCTGATTACACAAAGAACCCATAATTAACTTTGTGCTTCCTTTCAATCTCTACCTATAATTGTGAACCTTCCCCAATGCTGGGGGAAGGCTAGGTGGGTTTGGATATGTGCTGACATCAGAAAGTAGAATGAATAATACACAGAAATAACTGCTAGGTCTCGGCTGTCTTTTCTGGCCTGTCACTGCCCTGATCACTAGGGAGTCTGGTGTTAGGGACCTTTTTTAACCTTGGACTAAATACAGAGGTAGCCCAGGTACCATCATGGCCATAGTCAAGGCTTTTCAACTGAATACGCACCGTCCTGCTCCCTAATGGTGGTAACCACTCAATATACTATGTAGAGCAGCAACGAATAATAGGTTAGTTAGGAGCTAGAGCTCTGGAGTCAGACAGACCTGGTTCAGATCCTAGCTATGTCACTTAAGGCCATATAACCTTGGGATAGTTAATGTTTCTGGATTTTAAGTTTCCTCATCCACCTAATGTGAATAGTATCTCATAGGGTAATTGCAAGAAAGAAATGAGATTATACATGTAACGGTCTGAGGATAGTGCATTTCATAAATGCTCACTATTAACATTATTGCATCTGTATATATTTTAATTTGTACAGTATTGTCTCACTAATCACACAAAAAATACACGAAAGTGCTTTGAAAAATTTAAAGCATCATATAAATTAAAGGTGTCATTGGTGATAATCTCATATGAGTATTTCTTAACTCTTCCATCTCCTTAAAGACTGGGTCTACATCCTCTGTCGCACGGTGTATTGCACAATGATAGGCAAACAATAAGCCCTCAGTAAATGTTTCTTATTTGACTAGAGCAACATGGCAGAGCGTAAAGAGCATAGATATCAGGAGACTAGGCTGGGCTAAAATTAATTTAAGGCAGGAGAGCCAGTCTGCAGTCATAATTTATTCATTCAACAAATATTTGTTGAACACATTCTATGTGCTAGATATTGAGTCCAGATAATTTCATCAAAAGGAGGCTGTACACATTCCCACAAAGCCAAGTCCCTGGGCAGGCTCCATAGCACCAGCCCACTCTACTGCACAAAGGCGGCAGCCAACATTGTTTACCACCAGACAAATGGCCCCTTGCTTTGGGGGAAGCCGTACGTAGCTCTGACTCAGAGTTGAGGGAGGGAATGGGCTGCTTCCAACAGAAATGACAGGAACTGCTGCCTGTTAATTTATTTTTATTTACACTTACTTAGTCCACAGTTCGATCCCGCAGGCTATACAATGCTCCTTCCCCTAGGATGTCATCGCCCCTCCCCTCCATCACCTCGGCGCTCAGTGCTCAGCCTTGGCCCACCTCACCCTGCCGCCCAGCTGTCGCAGCTGCCTGCTGGGTGGGAGTATGGGAGAATGGTATGTGTGGTCACCAGAGGGCACGGAGAGTGGGCTTCCATGGCATGTGCATCCTGGCAGTCTCAGATCCCCGAGGGGGAGAGAAGAAAGCCAGGCCCAGACCACAAGTGGAGGGAGGGAGGCAGGGGCTGAGGTGACTGGGGGCGAGGAATCCAGTGTACAAATTCATGGTCTGCTGGCTTCACCCGAGGCGTCTGGTATTTCTCTCCTCCCTGGAGTTGTCACGGTTGCCTTGAGATGCTCGGGTCTGTCGGCAAAGTGTGGAGGGGTCCAGCCCATGGGCTCCGTGCTTGCTGCCGTTGGGCTGGTACACCCAGCAGGCTCTGCCTCTGTCAGAAGCACGGGCCAAAGTCAAAGCTGCGACAGCACTCTCGGCCCTGTAAGAGTCCTCTCCGGCTGTCCCCGAAGAAGTCAGGTCCCTCTCAGTAGCTGGCCTGCTAGAGAAGGGGTGTCTCCATGGCAGGCAACCCGCCAGGTTCCAAACCTGCATGTCTCCTTCTTTTCACACTGGGAGCAGACAGGTTGTTGAGGGGCAGCCGGAGGAGGTGGGGAGAAGGGAACAAAACCCAGGAGGGGCGCTTCACGGGGGGCTGCCTGGGAGTCCTGGCTCTGGGGCGGCAGCAGCTGTTACATGGCTTCCTTCTCTCTCTGGGAGCATCTGCTGAGCTTCATCTCCGTCAGCTGGATGTACCGAATCACGTTGGTGTCTGTGAGGAGGGAAACACACCTTAGGGAGCACCTGGCGGCGGGGGGGGGGGGGCACGGGGAACTGTCGGGTCTACACAGAATCCTACTTTGTGCCACGCTTGTTACCCTCATCATCTATTTCACATCATTACAATCATGCCAAGTACGGGTCCTCATCCTCGCTGTGACAAAGGGGAGAACCGAGCCCCTGGAGAGATGAAGATGCCCTGGGAGCCCCATGGTTAAGTGGTGCATCCGACTTGGCAGCCTGCCTCCCCTGGGGAGCATAGTACCTTCTTCATACAACTGCTGTGAGGACCGAAATAGAGAAGTCTGAACGTGCTTCATCCAGTGAGCAATAAATATTCATTGAAGGTAAATTTTTTAAACTAAAGAGTTTAAAATGACTTTGCTTCATTGTCTTACTTTTGTCCTTTACATAAGGTCAGGTACCCACCTCCCCAGAAACGGGGGCATTTCCCCCCCCATTCGAAGGCATTAAATTAGTGAGCAGCCTGCCTGGGATGTCATATGAATGCTAACACTCAGAAATGCCAGGGGTAGCATCTAGCAGTGCTGGCATATAGGAGGTGTTCAAGAAAATTCTGTCAAATGGGTCCAGTTCTTAGTCCTCAAGTTGCCTAGAGTACAGAACACAATTTATATACAGAAAAAGAACCGGTGACACATAAAAATAAAGATAAGGGATATGGGCATTCTTTAAGAATATAGAAAAAAGTATGCATTTGGATATTTGCAAACTGATCCTGAAGTTCTTAAATCCTTCTTGGATGGAGAACTGCATTTTTAAAAAAATCAGCCATGTGAACAACCATGGTAACACCAAGTCAAATTCGTTGTTTAAATGTTACAGGCTCTTCCTGACCACCTGGTGTAAAACAGCACCCCCTTTACTCCTGATTCTTTTACTCTGCTTTATTTTCTTCCTGGCACTTAGCATGACTAAATATTACATTATCTATCTGTCCATTTGTTTACTGTCCCTCCTCCTCCGTTATAACATAAACTCTTGGAAGGTAGCAGCTTCCTTTTATTCACTGCTATCTACCCAGCATCTAGAATAGCTCCTGATCTGCTCAGTAAATGTCTGTGGAATGAATGAGTGGCTGAGCTGGTGGATATGAGTTTGAGCGAACGGTCTAGGTAATGCAGGCTCTAAGAAATGGGAGCTGACCAGAGAAGTCAGAGCATGCTTCCTGGAAGATGTTGAGTTCAGCACCAAGAGTATCCATTCATATTCTGTCTCGCCAGCTGGAGTGTGAGGTCCTCACAAGTAGGGATTCCATCTTCTTATCTCCATCCCTGGCACCCAGCACAAACCGTGGCACATAACTCAGAATTCAATATGTATTTATTGAGTAAGCGGCGAGAGCTGGCTTCTGGATTGGAAAAAAACCCAAAGAATTCCATATTCTATTTGAAAAGAGGAGCCCCAGCTCCCTGGAATGCAAACCCCAGGCAAATGCATGGACTGTTCATGCTCCTCATTTCAGGTCCTGCCCCACACCTGGCCCCGCCAGCCAGGACAGCTGTGCGTCACGACGGGGAGGCCTCCGGAGCTGCCAGAGGGGACTGACGGTAAGAAAACAGCAATTGCCAACTTACCTGTTGGCTGTCGGGTCCTTGCTTCTTTCAGGTAGTAGAGGGCTTTGTCATAGTCTCCAAGGTGGTAGAAGGCCACACCAGACCGGTAAAGGGCCTTGAAGTTCTCTCCTTCCTTCTTCAGGACTTTGAGGCAATACTCCTTGACTCGCTCATAGTTCACCAGTTCAGCCTGGAGCAGACAGGCTATGGAGGAAGGGAGAGAGAAGGGAAAAGGCTCTAACACAGCAGACTCTGAATGTCTCTCTTTGGTTCTTTCTCCCTGCCCAGAAAAGGTGGAATTGTGTTGGGGTTTTATGCTGGGGTGTATTGCCATGGGATTTGTCATCAAATAATCTAGGGTTCTAGGACCCACTTTCATCACCAACAAGCTGTGTGACCTTGAGTAAGTTACTTGGCCTTGAATTGTGTCCCCTCCAAAAAGATATGTTGGAGTCCTAACTCCTAGTACATCAGAATGTGACCTTATTTGGAAATAGGATCTTTACAAAAAAGGTAACCAAGGTAAAGTAAGGTCGTTGGAATGGGTCCTAATACAATATGCCTGGTGTCTTTATAAAAACACACACGATAGGGACGCCTGGGTGGCTCCGTCAGTTAAGCCTCTGCCTTTGGCTCAGGTCATGATCTCAGGCTCCTGGGGTAGGGCTTGTGTCATTGTGCTCTGTGCTCAGCGGGGAGTCTGCTTCTCCCTCTCCCTCTGCCCCTCCCCATTGCTCTTGCTTGCTTGCTCTCCCTTTCTCAAATGAATAAATTTAAAACAAATTTTTTAATTAAAAAAAATGCCACTATAGGCTGAATGTTTGTTTTCCAAAAAATTCATGTGTTGAAAACCAATCCCCAGTGTGATGGTATTTGGAGGTGGGGTCTTTGGGAGGTGACTAGGTCATGAGGCTGAACCCTCATGATTGGGATTAGTGCTCTTACAAGAGAGACCTTAGCGAGCTCCCTTCCCCTTCTGCCATGAGGACATGGCAAGAAGACAGCTGTCTATGAACCAGGAAGCAGACTCTCACCAGACACTGAATCTACTACCTTGACCGTGGACTTCCCAGCCTTCAGAACTGTGAGAAATTGTGTTGCCTGAGCCATCTCTTGGTATAGCAGCCCAAACGGACAAACACAAACAGGAAGTTTGGACACAGAGACAGAAGCACACAGAGGTGAGACGATGTGAAGAAACAGGGGAAAAAGATGGCCATCTATAAGCCAAGGAATGCCTGAGGCCCCCACAAGGTAAAACAGAAGCATGGAACAGATTCTCCCTCACAGCCCTCTGAAGGAACCAAATCTGCCAACACCTCCATCTTGGACTCCTACTTTGCAGAACTATGAGACAATAAATTTCTGTTGTTCAAGCCACCAGTTTATGAGACTCGTGTTGTGGCAGCCCTAGGAATAAGCTACAAGGGGCGCTAACAAAGCTAACTGTGGCTAATTCTTGTCAAGTGCTCACCTGGTGCGGGATGCTCGTGGCATTGCTTTACTTGTATTCCCTGACATAATCCTCAGAATACCATGATGTAGGTCCTACTGTTATTCCCATTTTACAGATGAGGAAACTGAGGCCCAGAAAGATTAGCTCATTTACCAAGGGCACACAACATGACAGAGGCAAGGCTGGGATTTATTTATTTATTTATTTTTAAAAGATTATTTATTTGTCAGAGAGAGAGAGAGCGCGCACAAGCAGGGGGGACAGGCAGAAGGAGAAACAGGCTCCTAGCAGGGAGCCCTATATGGGGATTGGTCATGACCTGAGCTGAAGGCATACGCCTAACCAACTGAGCCATCCAGGCCTTCCAAGGCTGGGATTTAAATCAAAGCTGCCTGGCTCCAGTGCCCAAGTTCTTTAACGAGTTGTTGAGGGGATTTCATAAGATAATGGCCATAAAGTATTTAACACAGGGCTTGGCACAGAGTAAGTTACCCCAAGTGTCATTTAATATTATTATCATTCTTTTCAACCTTACACCCCTGCAGTGACAACTGCCTCTGACTTTCTTCAAGTTCTCATTCATGCAAGTTTGTCTTTGCATTTCCTGGGAATAGGGGTCTTCTGATGGGCCAGTGCCCAGCCCGTAGAGAGCACACCTCAGGACCTGTGAGGCCCCGTGTCCCAGGCAAGAGGAAGCTGGGGCTGGCAGGTGTCTGTGGTGGGGCCCCTTCCTATTTTCTATCAGCCGTCTCTGAGTGAACCATCACTCCTTGAAGATTCCTCTCACCAGCCTCCGCTGCAGGGCCAGAGCCAGGGCCAGGAAGCTTGCGAGACCCTGGAGAGTGATGCCCCCTTTCCTTGTGTGCCCAGTGGCCCCCCGCCTCACCCAACTCCCCACCCTGCTGGGCTGTCTCCCCCTCCATGCGATCACGCAAATGTTTAGTAGGCACTGAGTGAAGATTGTGTTATACACGTTGGAGGGATTACCAGAAAGGGGGACGGGGAGGGGCAGGGAAAGGCACCTCTCTGTTTCTTCCAAGTGAATAAAAAGAGACGTAGGAGGCAATGGTACCTGGGTGGCTCAGTCGTTAAGCATCTGCCTTCGGCTCAGGTCATGATCCCGGGGTCCTGGGATGGAGCCCCGCATCGGGCTCCCTGCTCAGCGGGAAGCCTGCTTCTCCCTCTCCCCATCCCCCTGCTCATGCTCCCTCTCTCTCTCTCAAATAAATAAAATCTTTAAAAAAAGAGAGAGAGAGAGAGATGTAGGAGGCAAAAGTGCTCTTCCCGTCAAGACCAGACTGGGTGGTGGGGGAGGAGACTGATGGCTGCTCCTTGTGCTCAGATTCCTCCCGCATGGGAGGAACCGCTCTGTCTCCGGGATAGAGGCGAGTCACTGATTTAAATCTTCAGAGGTCTAACTTCAGCTGTTTTGATCCTTTAAATAACTCCCCAGGGATAAGAATTGCTGATTAGGAGATCAGATCTTTCATTGGACATTTTGTGGGGGGAGGAATACCCACCCACATCCTTCTTGGCTGGCTGAGGGGGAGGTGAACCACACAGTCTCTGAAGTTGAAGGTGTGAGAACCAGGAAGTGGAAGAGAATCAGCCCAGATCTAGAAACTGACCCATCAGGTTTCACAGGCCCCAGGGCAGAAAGCCAAACAGGGAGACCGAAGTGAGGGGCTGCTACCCCCTTGGGCGTGGGTGGCTGTGGTCACAGAAAACCATGTGCTGGCAGCCAGGTGTCCATCCAGCTGAGCTGATGCCACCTTCTCCTCTCCTCCCTCAGCTGTGGGGACCCCTCCCCACCCCCCAAGCTGTTGGAGCCCGCCCTGGTGCTCACACATTTCTGCGGACAGGGAGGGCTTTCTGTCAAGAGGTTCCTGTGCATGGACCTCACTGGTTACCTGTGTGGGGCTTGGCTCCAACACCTGCTCCCAGAGCTAAAGGATTTCCTGTCTGGGCTCCCACATGCCTCATCTGGTGTCCTCTCTGCCCAGGCAGGACAAGCCACTTCCTGTCCATCTTCAGACAGACACTTCTGTTGGCTGACCTGAGCAGTGTAGGAAATGGGCCCTTGTCTCTTTTAAAAACAGCTTTTGAATGCCTAAAATGAGAGTGGGGTGGTGAGGAAAGGAAGCAAGAAGGCCTGGAAATGGAAACAGATCCTCCTCCCCCCAGGGGAGAAGAAAGGATAGCCATCAAATTCTGGGCATCCTTCATTGAAAATGTTTCGAATTCCCCGGTGGCTCCAGATCCAATGGGAACCGTGATACTTGGCCGTGGACCAGGTTTCAGACCCCATGGGTGGTGAGGCCAGGCAGGTTACAGGGTGTGGGGGCCCCTGCTGGCACCACAGGTGGAGCCCAGGAAAACAGAGAAATCTAGAGTCAGCTTGGGTCCAAATGGGCTGCCGTCCTAAAGGCTGGGCCAGGGTGGAACCCAGGCACAAAACCTGGGGTGCCAGCCAGAGCTCTTAAGGGGGGTCTGGGGTGGAGGGGGTAAGAGATAGTCTGGAAAGCTACCCGCAGCCCTACCTATAGGTGATTTTTTAGGCAGCCCTGTAGTTTGGGTGGGGAGCTATTTGGGGTTCACATAACAAGCCCAAGGGAGAGGCAAGATGGGATGTTTGTAGGCACATCCTTAGAGTGGGGAAAGTTCAGAAGGAGAGGTTGACCAGCAGTCTCAAGATGTTCCTTCCGCATCCCTATGCCCACTACCCAGGGCCTGTGGGCTGCGATCGCATCATCCCAGTGCCCTTGCTTCCTCTCCATGGTTAATCCCTTGCCCTGGGTCAGAGGTGGTGCTCGGTGCCTTACATACACTATGTCTTTTCATCTTCACGGTAACTGTGAAACAGGTTCTATTTAGATGCTTCTTTTTTAGACGATGAAACCCATTCCAGAGAAATTAAGTCACCTGCTCAAAGTCACTCAACTAGGAGGTGGTAGAATTATGATATCCACCCACTTCTGCCAGGATCTCCAGACTGTGCTCTTGACCATGGGTCTCTGTGGGTCTGTGTTTGAAGCCTTCCAAAACCCATGTAACCCCCGGTAAAAGCCACATCGCCTGTGTAAACTACCTTTCTCTGTGTCAACAAGTGTAAACTACCTTTCTCTGTGTCTCAGGGTCAACAAGGCAAAAAGCAATGCCTAAATTCACTGGGCACTGTTCAGGGCACAGGATCAGTGGTGAACCAAACACTCCATTCCATCCTGGAACTAATGGGCTGGTGGGGAAGGCAGACGTTCCATTATCTTGAGTACTCCCAAATGCCAAGACTGGGAAGAAGGGAAGAGAGGGAGCACACTGAGGGGGAGGGGCCCTCAACCAATATAAAGTATCATGGGAGGGCTTCATGGAAGAAGTGGTATTTAAGCGGGGCTCTGAAGACTGAGTGTTTCTCAACCTTAGCACTATAAACATTTTAGGCTGGATAACTTTTTGTCATAGAGGGATGCCCCGTGCATTGTATGATGTTTAGCATCATCCCTGACTTCTACCCACTAGATGCCAGTTGTGACAACCAAAAATACGTCTCCAGATATTGCAAAATATCCTGGGGGGCGCGGGGGAGGAGGTAAAATCCTCCCTGTTTGAGAACCAGTGATCTAGGTGGAAAGGAGAAAACGCCTTCTAGGCAGAAGCAACAGAGAAAGAGATTGAGAGAGGTGGAAGGGGGAGATTGACTTATTTGAGGAGTTTTGAGGAACTATGCCTGGCTGGAGCAGAGAGCCTGAAGGGTAGGGTTAAAAGGAAGGAAGCTGGAAAAGCAAGAGGAAACCCGGACACCTAGACCCTTCTGGTCCCTGTTGAGGATCTGGAACTTTATTCTTAGTCACGCTGGGATGATGAAATGGTTTGACTAGGTT